TAGACAGTTTTCGAATAAATGGTGGGTACTTTGCACTATGCATTTTTAGTGTCGCTGTAATAGAAAGCACATGAGGTGAATAAGAACATTGGTAAGAAAAGTTAGTATTGGGAATTTGAGAAATATGTGTATAAAGCAAAAGACTACTATATAAAAGGCTATTCCATGATGCTGATTCTACTGAAGACTGTGCACTTATGAGTTTCTTTAATGCAAAGCAGATAGTTTCCTTTTTAAAGTGAAGATGTGAAAAAATAATGGTTAGGTAGAATCTCCAGAAATTATTACTCGGAGCACTTAGCGTCTTTGTGTTCATTTGCATTTTCTGTGAGGCTCTAGAAATCCCAGTGGTCCCAACAATGTTTTGATTGCTTTGATGGATCTGAATGGGTGGAAGAGAATAGGGAATTTCAAAAAGAGTCTCTCATCTAGATTTTCCTCATGCTGCTATGGCTGGGCCTGAGTTTCATAAATATATAGGATTTACTGTAAAATAAACCCCAGCGTTATGTTAGTAGCAGTTTTGCTATTAGCACTTTCCATATTAAGATGTTTTGTTTCTGTTTGGAGGTAATGAGTAGTTGTGTTTTTGCTCTGAGTATAGCCTTGGAAATTCCCTTCAGGAGAAAAGACATCTCTAGGAATATGCACCTTTATAGTATAGGAGAGGGATTTTTGTGACAATGATTTCCTGATTTTTTTTTGATAGGCAGACAGTTTTTGCTTGTTTGCCTTTTTTTTTTTTTTTTTTTTTTTTTAAATTTTTGTATTCAGTCTTTACCTTTTTTATATTGCCAATGGCTTTCTGAGGTTGACTTGAGAAGCTCTGCTTCTCAAAAATGACAACCAGCAGGAGCTCCATTTCCAAGCAACTTGCTGGTCTGGTTCCCTCCAAGGCGATTTTGCAAGGGTCTTGAGTCCTACACTCCTCTTTGAATGTTAGTGAAGTCTAACTACCAAAACTGAGCAGCTTGTCACAGAATTTCTTTCTAAACTCCTTTGTGAACAAGGATTAGAATTACAAGTTAAATTGTTTTTTTCTTTTTTTTTTTTGCAAAAAGGAAAAAGCCAAGTATGCCGTTAATAACTCTGTTGCTGTCTTTTGGTGGATCTGAGTAATACACAGTGAGGGAATCCAAAGCTTCAAGGTACAAGCTTCTCTTAAGACAGAGCATTCTAAAAAAATCATAAATACATGAGAACTGATTGCATTTTTGGCAGTTGGTTGAGAAACTAGTGTATACTCTAAGTATTTCTGAGAAATCTGTAGTGCCAAGGTTTTTTTCTTGGTGATTGTGTATTGACAGGTTGTTACAGAGCAGGATGTTGCAATGGCCCTTCATTTCCATTTCAGTTCTTCCTCCCTTGGGGTAACATATTGTTGTGTACTTCCTATTGGGAGAGCTGTCTTACAGAGAAGAGATTTGGGGAGAAGACAAAAGCAAGTATTTGTGTTCGTGGTTTTTCTCTTTTGGGCTTCCAGTAAATATAGTACCATTTCTGTGGTAAAACTTGTGCTGACCCTGATTTAAAAATACCCATCAGGAAGAACTACTTCCACAAGGACATATTGTGACGTAAGGATCAGGTCAGTCTCCATATCCCGTTATCATGGATGCAGGGAATAGCTCTTCTATGAAGAGTGTCAGACTGCCTCATGGAAAGCCCTGGAAAGGAAATTCAAAGGTGATGAATCCTTCTGTTTTTTAGAAGTAATGGCTCTGAAATTGTTAGCTTTCTAAGAGTTAATGTTATCAATGGATCTGCTTAAAATTCATTAATATATGTAAGACTTCAAGCTTTCTGAGTGATAAGAAAAGACTATTCATGAAAACAGATTAGCTTTGTGGAGTCCTGTCTCTCACATTTTCAGGGGAATGGGGAAGATTCTGCAAGATTCTTGCTCAGAAATGCTGCAAATTCCTAGTTCTTTCACCTCCCCTTAGAGTGCTGAGGTTACTTTAATTTCTGCATACTAGAAAAATTGAAGTGTTTAAACATCACTTCATGTAATTTGTGTAATGAATTTAATTCTAATCCTTGAGATGTGTATCTTTATGGTAAGGAGGTATGCTTGAATGGGCTTAATTTTTTCTTGTTGTCTCTGGGAGCATCCCTTATCCTTGTGAAGTCGATTTAATTTCTCGCTGCTGAAAACATTTGATTGCTAACAGTTTTGTGCCTTGTTACTTAATTATATATAGCGGAATAAAAGACTATAACTTTATGATATGTATTTGTGCACTGCTTTTGCTTCTCATAGCTTTTGCAAACAGATAGTTGTAACTTTTCAAAGCTGTAAAAGATTTGCAACGTGTGCTATGTGCAGGCAGTCTGTAGCAGCAATGTGGGGAGCTCTATAATAGAAATTGTCCTACTGAAAATCAGTTCATCTGGAACTTGAACTACGTAGTACTTGTTACCTGCTGCTGCTGTTATAATTTGAGTTATCTATATTTTTATAGTTCTTATATTGTGAGGTGAAGATAAGAGTAGGCACTCTGCTCCATTGTACTAGGAAAGGTAAGCAGCAAATCCCTAGTGATTTGCAATGTGCGATATAAAGCAATATGTGGCAGCTGAGGTGCGACTAGAATCTAAGCAGTGTTTCTTGGGAGTACTTTGTCTTTTCCTTTGAACATTGAAATGTTTTGTGCAGATCTTTTTTTGTCTGCATTAACCTAGAAGTAGAATAACTGTTGTTTTCTTTGAATTTGACCTGTAACAAGGAATCTAATTACCTTGTCCTTTTTTTGCTGTTCTCAGCATACAGACTTACAAGAGGGAGGCATGCTGTATTTGCTTTTTGTTAAGTGTCCAGGAATACAGATTTCCTTCTGCATGGTTTGGAAATCTTTGAATGTCTGAACCCATGACTGAATTCTAAGGGATGCTCTTACTTCCTGCAGAGAGCTCTTTTTTTTTTCTCTTAATGTATTTGTGTCCATCAAATACAGCTTTTTCCTAAAGCCACATCCTCTTCAAACTTCTTAAATGTAATCGGAATATTTAGAGGAAAATCTCAGTAATAATTCTGGTGACAATACGGTAAATACCATCAAGTCAGGACTTGATGATTCTAGTTTAAAAAAGTAACCTCAGACCATTAATACTGTTGATAAATAAAAAGAATGTATAGTATTAAACAGCTTGGTACACAGACATTAAATGTTATTTATTTGCCATTTAACATTAAATTGCAAATAAACCGTCCAGTTCAATCCTTGGAATGACAAAATTAATTTATTTTAGTCAATTTAAATAAGTTGCCTTTGAAATAACTTGACTGAATTGCTAAGTGGTGCTGTCGTTTGCAGAGAAGAGTGTTCAAACAGAAAAGGTCAGTATCTGCAATGCATATGACTGCAGCTGAATTTTTTTCAAACATGAGTTAAGTAGAAGTTGGAGTTTGGAGAGTGTGACTGCTTAAATGTTATCAATGTTCGTAATAGAAATGAAAATAGTAAGCAGAATTTAAAAGTAAAGTTGACAAGCATGAAGGATGTGAGGTGGGATCTCAAGTTAGCAAGAATAGTCACATTGATTTTTTTTCTGAAGCACTGGGAAAACTGCATGTTTTAAATGTTAAGAGGTATGTCAGACATCATTATGCTTCTTCAAAGATTGAAGTTTTTTAAGAATGAATATTTTTTCTTAGGACGTGGAATTTTATAGCATATTGGAGTTTTTTGGAAGCTGCTCACCTTATTCTTTGAAAATAGAAAATTGCAAGTAAAATCTATCTGTCCACAAGTATTCTATTTTTTTCCAAATTATTTCAAGATTTACTTTCATAAAGTAGTGCACCATTTCCACTAGTCTTACTGCACATGCTGATTTTGCAGAGGACTCCAGTAAGGACCTGTTTCCTGGGGGCTAGAAATTTTGTGAAGGTTGGTCATTCATAAAATAACTTGTAGAATAGGCAAAATTATTTCTCCTTTTTTTTTTTCTTACTTATGCCAAAAGAAATGATCATAAATTATAAATTACTGTATGGCAATATATTTCTTATTTAAAATACCATATAGAGGTGAAAATGGTTTTCTCCTGCCTGTATGTAGCACTGAGTTTACATATGGTTACTTGTCACTTGTTGCTGGCGTTTTACCTTTGAAGGAACAAACTGACTGAAGTGGAAGATCTGCTTTTCTCTGTGCAAAGAAACAGAGGAAACAGAATATTTTAGTTAAAATGTGCGTGCATGTTGTTACATATCTTTGTAAGCAAAGCTGGAGGCGGATGTGATTTTTGTACCAAATGGAGGTATGGGAAGAAAGATATCTGAGAAAATATTTAAAGATGCAGTCAGCTCCACTTAAAATTTAAGGCAAATCCTGACCCTTGTCTCCAGTTATTCCATGTAAGGTAGTGTGTGCCAAGCAAGCTTACCCCGTCTCCTGAACACTGTCAGAACTAATGAACACACAGATATCACTGCTGTCACTTGGTGCCTTCTGATGCCTCTTTCCTGAGTTTGGTATGTGTCTTTGTAGCATGAACTTTTCAGAATACGTATCATATAGCTATTAAATTTTCTCTGTGAAGCCTGGGAAATGTAATACCTTTATAAGGACATTGGCTGTTCTTGGCATTGTGCTAGTTTAAAATTAGGAAACATAATTAACAGGAATTTTAATTACAGTGCTACAGAGTTCTGCAAGCTTGGCTTTGGTGCAAAAAGTATTTTTACTGAATTGTCAAAACAGTAAAATAGTGAAGAAATGTTGCTAGGCTATATCAATGAGGAATTAGTTTGCAAGTGACTGTTCTTGCACGCAGTGGCAGGATAAAGTAGCTGGAATATGGGCAAGGATTCCCTCCTGTCAAGTGACTGTACAAGGAGCTGAAGTTAATGGCCAGCTGTGTTGAGGGGCTTGAGAAGTGAAGAAATAACCTTTGGGACCATAGCTCAATTTGCTCAGGAAAATCTTACTGGCGTTTTTATGTTAAGCTGTGCCATCCTGCAGGGATTTGAAACATTTTTGGGAAAATATAAGCTTTCCTAGGTTGGTGCAACACACAGAATTGTGCTATTATCTCCTCTTACTGAATGGGACAGGTCTGTGTGTCTTCACTCTTCCTCCTTTTCTCAAATGCTTCTTACTGCAAAAATACACTGCATGTAATTGTTAGAAGGCTTTTCTTTGCTTTCATCTGAGATCTTTGTATATCAAAATATTCCTTTATGTGAAGATTAGTCTTTTTACAACTGTGTTATTATATGTGAATATACGAAATTTTGACTTAAGGAATATTGTTACAAGCTTAAATCTGAAGGTGGAAAGGTTGTAAAATATATAAGTCTGAGATAGGATTTTTTCCTCACACTTCTGTGTTACAATTTGAGCATTGCTCAGAAAAGGAGTTTTAACTAATATAATTTCATATTTTCCTTATTCTAGAATCCACTCAGACTTATTCATTGTTTTCTTCTTGTTTGGTAAGCGACATAGTTTCCAAATTATGTCTGAACGGAGCAAGATCTACTTGGGGACTGTAGATAGGTATTTGCACTGATCATGTGGTAGTATCTGGGGTGGTGTGTGCAAACAGAACCACCAAACTGGCAGGGGTGCTGGCAGTACCATAGCACTTCTGCAGAATCCGTGGTGATTTTCTGTTCCTCTTGTGTGGTCTCATCGTTTCGTGCCACTCCACAGTCCTCTGGTTGTCGTTCGTCAGAGCTGAGGCTGTGCCGCTTGCCGCAGTGGTAAATGAGGGCTGGGGCTGGGTGAGTCATCTCGCGTTTCCCTCTCCCCAGCACAGCACTTGACCAGAGAAGCGACGTAGATGGTGGAGTCAGCAGCGCTCAGCCTAGACACGTGGGGAGGCGAGGCAGAAATCCTGGTGCTCAGCATTGGGATTCTGAAGACATAAAAAGCCCCACTGTCCAGTGAGGAAAAAATACCCCACCACACACTCAGGAGATCTTCTGAGGAAGGTCCTTCAAGCCCTGTTCAGGCAAAAGTGAATCCTTTCAGTGGTGGTTATTTGCAGGATAAGGTGCTGTATGCTAGAAAGCAGTGAGTTGCGGAAGGAGGTGGAGGTTATTGTAGATGATCAGCTGATAATAGATGTCTGTTACGATGCTGTGGCCAACATGGCTGATAAATATGTTGAGGTTTGTGCAGGATGTGGGTGCCTGTTAGCTTTCATGTGGTATGGGTAGAAAAAGTACTTGCTGAGTGTTATGTAGTAGGGTCATCACTGAAATAATTTCAAAGGACTCTAGAAATAAAGTTCTCAGTTTGTAAACAGGGATACTGTGTCCTGTAGCAAAACAAACAAACAAAAAAAACCCTAGAAACCTCTCTTACTTTCTGCTTCGTGAAACTACAAGGCTGCTTTATGCTTCTCTCTGTAAATCCAAGTTGCTTTATTTACCTTTTTACTATTGGAACTGGAAACAAAATGTGAATTTTAATGAACTTTCAGAGTATCATGCCTAGGCATGTCAAGGTATTCTTACACTCTGATTTATGTGAGGTTGTGTAAGATTAGGCTCTGAGTCAGTTTGAAGTGAAGCTTGATGTTAGTGTTCCTAATTGAAATTCCTCTTGCTCTTTTGTATAGCACAAATTAAATGACTGTAACCTATTCTAGCTTTTTCTTACCCAAACCTCATGAAAGCGTGCTACGTTTCATCATCCAAATCAGCAATGAAAGTAGAAGTGACTTGGGCAAAGGACCAGGTACTTCTTTTGTATCTCTTATTTTAGCTGTGGGATGCTATTCTTAAGTCCTGCTTGTGTGGTTACAATTAGACAATCCTGAGCTCAGGTTGACCTAGCAAGTACAGCTGCATAAGATCCATGCTCATAAAACACTGGTCTGTCAATATTGCTGGTTGCTTCTGCTGTGCTTCAAATCTTCCCTTCTTCCTTATTTTTCTTTTGAATTGCTTTCTTTTGTAGAACTCGTTCAGTTACAGTTTCTTATTGTCAATCACATGAGATGCACTACCTGATAGTGAGAGCAAGCTCAATCTGTTTTACCCGTGACTGTTAATAGCTAAGAGGCAAAAAAGAAAAGCCTCTTAAACTGCATCTCATCCCTAAGTGCCCACATTAATTCTTCCTTGCTATTCTAGTGTAAACTCAAGGATGTCTGTAGGATACTCTGCATCACTGATGAAATTATGGTTGACATTTTTGACTTTTCACTAAAACAGACTGGAAGCCTTGCTGCAGTCAGCACTCATGTCCCAGCTCCTTGTGTGTTCAGGCTCAGAACCAAGACCTTGCTTTTTCTTCTGATTTTGTTGTGTTTTAGCCATAGTGTGGTCTGAAACGGTGGTGGATGTGCCAAACGTGATAGAGTGTGAATGCAACCTGAGACTGACCATGAATGTGTGTCCGTAGCACAGGTAATTGTGTCCTCCTCTTCTGCTGTATGTAGTTAACTTGCTGTGCCAGAAGCTGTGCAAGGCTTGTACATTAAGATAGGTGGCCTATCAAAGAAGCACAAAGGAAACAAGCCAGTTGGATTCTCATGGTTTTCTTCCACTGCTTCTGCTTGTCTAATTGTTTTTGAGGTGGTGTATCTATTTCTTAGGAGCAAAGGTTTTGAAGTTTTAATATTTTTTCAGAAAACATCTGTCATAATAGTACTGTAGATAATGGAAGACTCATTTTCCAAGAAAATGCAAATTTCATGAAGAATGAGTGTTGCTGTTCTTAACATCTTTGAGTCCATTTTCCCTTTTAAGCAAGTTGCAATATATAAAAATCTGTTTGCACTTGACGCATACCTAGTTTATTGTACAAATAACTTCTGTGTGTGTTTATTATCTACATCTGTAGTATGTATTATCTCCTTGTTTATAGATGGCTGATTGCTATACTCTCCTGGTTAGGAGCTTAAATGAGATACTCCACACTGAAAACCTATAAATGATTGGGAAGAAACTGCTTTGTATGACTACATATTGGTGAAGAATTGAAGCAAATAAAGCTGCAATGATTATTTCTTTTTTAAAGATAATTTTTATTATCTATTGAGGAATAATTTGGCATTGCAAGAAGGTATCTTAAATCACTGAGCACAACTATTAAATTATTTTATTTAGGTCCCCTTGCATGTTTAGCAGTGTTGAAGATTTTATTAATGCTTTGAGCTTCATTGCACAGTTTCAATTTGCTGTTGTTTTCTTTGTCCTTCTTTGCATAGAAGTTAGATACTGTTAAGTATCTCTTTGAATGGTTGAATACATCTTTCACATCAATCTGTGTATCTCTGAAAGTTACGGCTGAGTATAAGTAAGACTTTGCTGTAAAATAATTTAAGGCGCTGGTAAACAGTATTAGTTATAGATAGCATTGTAAAACTGCTCCAAGATGGTAAATACTGCTTTTTTTAGGTGTTTTTTTAAGATACTTTCCATGCCCTGACATTATTTGAAGTCACTATCAGTCTCAGTAGGACTTTATAATAAAGCCTGCAAAGCGGCTGCCAAGTGTAGATACCCAACATTTACATCCAGTGTTGTGTGATGGTAGCTGTGACATGATTCCAATTAAAAACTTGGTCTGCACACTGCAGATGTCTTCTGAATATTAATGTGTACTACAGACAGAGCAGATGGAATCTTTTTGAAATACAGTACTCTGAAAGGAAAATTAGGGTTGGGTTTCTGACGGAAACTGGGAGGTTGTTGAACTTCCCTTTTTTTTTTTTTCTTTTTTTTTTCCCGTGTTATGCATTGCTAAATCACAAGAATATATGTGTACTGTCATCCTGTTTCTTTCCATATAGGAGGAAATCAGCTCTTCATTATGCATCCAGAAAAAAATACAGCATTATGTCTTGTCTTGCTGAAATTGTTTTAAATGCCAGATGTACTGAGAAAAATAAGCATGTATGCAATGTCTGCTGTGCTTTAAAGGATAGGCCACTGCCTAAAGGCCAGATAATGCAATAGGTAATAGTCGAAACGCAGAATATCTAGGAGATGTTGGAGTTGTTGATTAATGATGAGTGTGTAAAAATATGTATCTGATATTTGAACATGTGTGGTGAGGAGTGTTAGGGAAACAAACAGGAAGGATAGCGTAAAATTTGAAATAAGAGGATGACAAGATCATCAGTGGTACACCCTACTGTAGTGTGTTGCAGAACCAAGGTTAACTTCCAGGAAACAGCAACAATCCAGCTGTGGAAATGAGTAGATTAATTGCTCGTATATTTACGTTGCTTCTCTAGTGAATCAAAATGTGAAGTAAAGTGCTAGTAGTAGAAATATTTTAAAGCAAGCAATAGAGCAAGTGTGATATTGAAACAGAAATCGGGGTGGATTCTACATGAGTGGGAATTGTAGCTGTCTGCTATTGTAGTCATCTTTTTGGGTGGAACGCAGGAGTGTGAGAAGGGAATGAGTGTATCCAGAGAACAGTTTATAGAAAACGCCAAGATATGTAAATCAGCCACACTGTTTAACTCAGTAGTGCTGTACTGTAGTTGCGATGTGCTTGCCTCCCACCCTGCTCATACTTAATTTCACAGTGGAGGTTTCTGGCCTCAGCAAGGATACTTATTTCAATTATCTCTCCATACTTCCAGAGAAATTGGCTCTTTGGCCTTCTTGGGGATGACACTCAATCGACGGGCAGTTTTTAAGATCTAAACCATAGTAAGACTGAGCAAAATTGCCCTCGAGGTTTGGGACAGAATAGCAATGACTGCGTGAAGGTTGAATGATCTCCAGTCAGATCACTTCTAGTGGCTCCAGTCTATGAGAGAATATGAGTGTGATATGTGAAATACATAAAATATTTAACTTGGGCTTAGGTTTTTGTTTGTTTGGGTCAATACAATGTGAATAAAACCTATGCTCAGCTTATTTCTCTGAACTTTGGGAAGCTGAGTCAAGAGATTTGGAGAAGGAAGAAACTGTCTTCCTTTTGCTGCTTATCATCCCAAGACGTGGGCGAGTTGCTCGTATTTTGTGTTTTTTGGGAGATGCCTCATAACTCTCTAGGTGAGATGCAACCATCTTTTCCTTCTGAAG